GAGGCCAGAAGCAAGCGCCAGACATAGGCATTCACTGGTGGGGGAGTGTGGCGGGCCGAGGGGGGTGGGGGGGGCGGGGGGGGGGGGGGGGCGGGCGGGGGGGGGGGGGGGGGGGGGGGGGGGAGGAAGAAGGGCGGCCGGCAAGGAAGCCGGCGCTCATTGTCGTACAGCATGGGCCTCGAGGAGGAAGTTTTGGAAGACAATCCGGCTGATGGTCGACCACAAGGCCATGGACCACTGCCAGGGAAGAGCACGCAGGGGAGCCCCGGCGGCGGTTGGCAGATCGTCCGGTTCAGCGGCGGCCGCGGCCGGATCCCCCTCGGCCAGGCTGCCCAGGAACATGGAAATAAGCCGCAGGACCGACAGACGGACCGCCGCCACTGGATGCCGAGAGAAGGGCAGAATGGCGCGCAGAAGCTCCGGCGGCGGTGGCCTGCATTGCCAACGCCATGCACCAAGAGGCCGAGGGTGAGCATGACGAGGAATCGGTGCATCAAGCGGCGGGACAGAGGAGGAGGGCGCAGGAGGGGGGGGGGGGGGGAGCTGGGAAACGCACACAACACCACGCAAGTTGCCGGTGCGCAACGGGGCCGAATCCTCTTCGGGCGACGGGGCGTCACCGGGGCTGCTGGCAGCCGGCCGGATGCCGAACACCGCCAGGGCCACATCGCGCACGACCAGCAGCCGGCCCAGCAGATCCAGCGCATGGGCCGTGGCAGCACTCAAATCGTCATCGACATTCGACAGGGCTGCACGCGAGGAGGCGGGGGTCGAGGAAACTGGCCCGGTCAGCGCGGCCACCAAAGCCGACAGCAGGGCCGCCAATTGGCGAGGGAAGCGCAGGTACCGCTCGGTGGCGGCCTCGGCACCGGTCACGAAGAAGGTGGACGTCAGGACATCCACCACCGGCATGAGTGTTTCACAGGCCACCGCGCGGACATCATCATCCGGATCATTGATGCTTCAGGGGGACAAGCCAAGGTGCATGCGGGAGGGAGGGAGGGAGGGGGAGG